GACTAATTTATAACCTGTAATTATTACAGTATTGTGTAGCTTTATAATTCCTCATTTTTTTACAAGCTCTATCTAGAAACGGTAAAAAAAAAACAACTGTCTCAATCCGATCTGTAAAGATGTGGAAAGTTAATTTGAATTTAAATGAATTAAAATAGTCTTTTATATTGTTTACAATAGCTGAAATTATTACAGCGCTGTGTATCTTATAATTCCTTCTCATGTCATTACCCTGGATTCTCCCTTTTTTTCTGTATTTGTTAAAACCTTTGACCACTTTATCACCTGTAATTACAGTATTGTATAGCTTTATAATTCCTTTTAACAAGCTCTGTCTAGAAACAATTACAAAGCAACAGTGCGAAGTGTCTCAATCCCATCTGCAAAGACATTGAAAGTTAATTTAAATTTAAATGAATTAAAATAGTCTTTTATATTGTTTACAATGGCTGAAATTATTACAGCGCTGTGTATCTTATAATTCCTTCTCATGTCATTACCCTGGATTCTCCCTTTTTTTCTGTATTTGTTAAAACTTTTTACCACTTTATCACCTGTAATTATTACAGTATTGTGTAGCATTATAATTCCTAATTTTTTCACAAGCTCTATCTAGAAACAGTTACAAAACAACAGTGTCTCAATCCCATCTGCAAAGATGCTAAAAATGGTCTTTTATATTGTTTACAATAGCTGAAATTAGCTTCTCATGTCATTACCCCTGAATTTTCCCTTTTTTCTGTATTTGTTAAAACCTTTGACTACTTTATCACCTTTAAGAGCTGAGTTCAGGATATTGCTGTTAAATATATTTTTGCACAAGCTCTTACTTACATCCTCTCTCTTACAAAACAGTGCTAAGTGTCTCAATCCATCTGCAAAGATGTGGAAAGTTAGCAAACAAAGTTGGGACACGTTTGTGGGCGTGTCTCATTCAGAGACTCAAGAAAAGCTTTTCTTTTTCTTTCTTTCTTTGTATTTCTTTGTAAAACACAATAGTGTGAAAGATGACGAAACTTGAGCACGTTTGGTGTCACAATTTTATCAAACTGCCTCTAAAAACTCCTCATTTAACCACTCTGCCGGGATATTTACTGTAGAACTCAGACTGTGTTTAATATTTACAGGATTCGGTTAATTTATTTAGTTATGGGAACATCACATGCTGCAGCCTCTGGGGAAAAGCTATAAAAATAGCTCTATTTTCTGTAATTATTCTAACCAAAAACACCCAGAGGGATTTAATATCTGGAATTTACACATGTAAAGTGGCCAACATCCCCCTTTAAGGAATTCAAGAGTTTACAAGTTAAAAAAAAGCCAGAAAAGGCAGAAAAAATTGGGTCAGAGTGGATTTAAAAACACTTATTGACAAATTTTTCTTAATAGCTTTACTTAATATATATGGATGAAGTCTGAAGATAGAATGAAAATAAAAGAGAGAAAAAAACAACCTTGTCACCAACATTTGATGAATTTGAATGAATCACTACTCAAATAATAAAAACAAGTATTTTTATTCTGACTCTGAAAAAATAGTGTCCAGAAATCATAAAGTACTATTTAAACTAACAAAAATTATTTTATTATTAAAGTATTTCTGATTCTGAAAAAATAGTGTCCAGAAATCATAAAGTACTATTTAAGCTAACAAAAATTATTTTATCAAAGTATTTCTGATTCTGAAAAAATAGTGTCGAAAAATCATAAAGTACTATTTAAACCAACAAAAATTATTTTATTATAAAATTAATAAAGTATTTCTGATTCTGAAAGAATAGTGTCCAGAAATCATAAAGTACTATCTAAACTAACAAAAAATATTTTATTATTTGAGTTCTATTCTGTTCTGAAAAATAGTGTCCAGAAATCATAAAGTACTATTTAAACTAACAAAAAATATTTTATAATTTTTTTATTAAAGTATTTTTTATTCTAATTCAGAAAAAATAGTGTCCAGAGATAATAAAGTACTATTTAAACTAACAAAAATGATTTTACTATTAAATTATTAAAGTATTTCTGATTCTGTTCTACAGGACTGTCTCAGAAAATTAGAATATGGTGATGAAGTTCTTTATTTTCTGTAATGCAATTACAAATCATGAAATGTCATACATTCTGGATTCATTACAAATCAACTGAAAAATTGATATCCTATCTCAAAATATTAGAATATCGGATTATTGAGTTTTCTTCAGCTGTACGCCATAATCAGCGATATTAAAACAATAAAAGGCTTGCGATATTTCAGTTGATTTGTAATGAATCCAGAATGTATGACATTTCATGATTTGTAATTGAATTCCCGAAAATAAAGAACTTTATCACAATATTCTAATTTTCTGAGACAGTCTTGTATTTAAACCAACAAAAACCCTATCCAGAGCCACTAAAAAACAAATAAAAACACCTGTATATAGTAGGCATGGCAAGATTCACCGATGCGTATCGGAACATCGGAACGACCTGTGCGATACGGTTGCATCGATTTGCAAACGTCTGCATCGGTAAAAACCGCACATAAACTCGAGATGCATCGTATAAAACTACCTGCATCGATACAAACCGATTATTATCTTCTATTATTATAACTTTTTAGAAACGTGTCTTTGAGTTTTAGTTGCGTTTCTTGTAAAGTTTCAGAGAGACAATCACTGTCTAAGTTGCACTTCCTTTGTTTCAAAATAAAAGGCACAGTTAGCTTGCGTGCCATAACTTGAACTATGTAATCCATGGTGTACTTTTCTTCTGCATCGCATCGTATTGTATCGTATCGTATCGCACTGTATCGCAGCATTTTAAATTTAGATCGTTCTGTATCGCAGCATTT